TCTCTCTCCCTCCCTCCCTCCGCCCTGTGTTTCTCTTTCTAGAGCAGGATTAGGAAGAGTGGCCCTGTTTGTTCCATAGGTATGATATTACATATATATATATATATATGTACATATAGGAATTTGCATAGACAGGGTCGCACAACCTGTTTAGGTGGATTAGAGCCAAGTGGATCATAGCCGCATGGAATCTCCAATGCCCTTAAATCGATCAGGGGTGGGCAAAGTGTCTCCAGGCGAACAGGCGACTGACCCATTCCCGCCTATAAAATATGGGCGGCTTGTTTGCATCTTTGATTTTTCAACGTTTGAGTTTGACTGCTTCAACCACCAGCGAAATCCAACTCGCACCAGTTGGGATGGAAAAGCCCTGGAGCGCTGTGCTCGTGGAATGTACTGTTCATGCTTGTTTGGCCCCTTGCTTTGTCTGACAACACCGAATGTGTTTTGCTTCATCCAGCAGTAACGATTTAAACTCCCGGCGAATTCAGGTAGGACTGAAAGCAACGCATGAGCCACAATCAAAACCCGGGTAGATGAAGGTCCGGGGTTCACTTTTTTTTGCCGCATTCAAATTGTAAATTGTAAGGAAACATCCTGGCGATTTCTGGTACTGACAACAAAACGTGGTATTTTATTGTTGGCTCCCAGCCATCCCCTTAGCTTCTTAGCCTTTTCTTGTTTAGTGGGGATGTCCATTAAACCCACTAAAAGTTCTCGGTTAGCCGGGGATCTTAAAACGGACAGCCCAGTTTTGTTTCACGTACTTTGGCTCGGGGAAACAATTGCTCCGACCTGGCTCACCTTGAGAGCCTCGTCTGGTTTCAGGCGCCCGGGGTGAGGAGTCAGGAGCGGAGACGTCTGCATTTCGATGCCGTTGGTGCGGTTTCCCTGAGAGGTTTGGTCATTTTGTTTCACCGCGGAGATTCCATGGAAGGTGCCAGAACCCTTTTGGAAGACTTGGTGCCTTTTGATTTTGTTTAACCCTTGCGGCGATTCAATTGGGGCAGCTCCCAGAAAACTAGTTTTTTCCATTTGCAGTGGCCGATTGGAGCAGCTTTCATGTTAGTGTGAGGGAGTGTAGTAGTTTTTGGTGCATTTGGGAGGCACATTGGGAACTCACTTAACTTTTCTCAAACAGTGACATTCACAATTTGACCTATAGGTTTTTTTGGGAAGTGGTTGGTTTGTTTAGCAGCTTGCATTTGGTTAGGATTGTGCTTTTAAATTGTGTTCCCCTGCTGGTTTTAAAGGGAATCGATTTCACTACTGGACATTATTTGTTTGGGAACTTAAACAAATGGAGGGTAGTATTTGAGTTCACTTGGGAGGTACTTTGGGGAAACCACCAAACTTTCCTCAAACATATGTGGCATTCACTCTGTTTTTCCATATCTCCTCTTGGGGGGAATAAGTGCTCGGTCAGGATCCGTTTGTTTTTCCTTGGTTTGGGCGAAACAAAAGCACGAAGGTGGGGTTGGCGGGGGGCATTCCCAACCAGAAATAGCCGCGGCCGCCTAGTTTTTGTTTGCATGGTCTTGGTGGACTTTTGTGGCACTGAGTTTGGCTTTGACTCATGCAACCTGAACGGTGACATCCACAGCAAACCGTGGACGTGATGGGTCAGGTTGGTAGGTTGGTGGCTGTTCTCGTTTTTCGGGAGTGGCTGCTGTGTTTCAATAGCTGAAGGGCTGTTTGGCTTCCCTTTCAGGGGATTTAGAAGGAGGTGAATTGTTGGAATTGCCCGCGCTGTGCGAAAATTGGAATGCCACCTGCAGCCTGCTGCAACACGCAATATATTTGGACATCTGATTGATTGCAAATTGAACAAGCTAGCAGTGCGTCCCAAAAAGTGAGAATGGTTCTGAAGGTTACTTCCGTGTTGCGATGGTTCCATGTTTAAGCCCCCATTTAGGAGGTATTTTTGGAGGATGTCATGCCCATTTTTTCTACTTGAGTTTCTCAAAAAAAAAATATTCGCATTATTTGTCCGCCTGAGTCAATAAAGCACATAATTTCCTTGGGGTTGAGCCACAGTTAAAGGTTTGTGTCAACTAATCCCGGGATTCCCACTTGCCGACTTCACGTGTCACGTGTTTCCCCAGGACAGTGTGAAATAAGGGGGTTTTATTTGATTGCCCCTTCAAGGGGAGCTGCTGTTAAGTCCGTTGGGATACTAGGTCCCCAGTAGTGCCCTTTTACCCTTTTTTGGGGGAACCTCTCTGGAGGACCTAAACATCACCTGGTTTTAAGTCTTAGGAGCTCAAGCGCCCACAGGCCCCCAACTTCTGGGAGTTGCAAGGCCATACTGTGGATGGTTGCGAACTGCGTTTCGCACCGTTCAGAACCCCAAGTTGGAATGATTCGATTCCAAGCAACGTAAATACCGGATTCCAAACGTGGCTCCAACGAATTCCTGCACCATCCTGGAAACCCAAGTTGGAATGTGTCCATTCCAAAGTAAAAACCGGATTCCAAACATCATGGTTTCATTCCAAACGTCGAGTCTCTGCGAGACTCACGGATTTCGAGGTCAAGGAACTGTCGTGTTCTGCCAGGCTACGAGTGGCAGTTTGCCGGCGATCAGGGCTGGTGCCGCTTCGCTCGAGCCTCAGCCTTTTTGGGGGGGATTCCGCGGTGAAAAAGAGAAGAACTGAGTCTCGCTCAATGAGTTCATGGACTTGTCAATTTTTGGGACCACATTTTTTAGTGCTAAACTTGAAATCACTTGACTTTCTTTGGCCAGTCCACTCAGGAAGTAAGAAGAAACTACGAATTTCATAGTTCTAGGGGTTGTTCCATTTCCCATTCATTCCAGGGATCCTTCTTTCTAGATTTGGACACCCTGTGAAAACGGCCGGTTTTTCAAAAACAAGAAAAGGACGGTTGAAAAGACTGGGGAATCAACTTGACTTATTTTGGTGCTAAAATCCCCTAACAACCCCATTGACATGATGTAGCCCCTACACTTCGTTACAACTATGTTAGGCCGAGTCTCACGTTTTTGTTTTTAATCAGAGACCCCCATAGGTCGGTTTCCTTGTGGCCCTACAGTTGCCATCCAAGTCGGAGTTGCAGTCCACGGTATCCGGCGGGTTCGGGTCCAGCCCAATTTCTCCGCTGATGTTCGCATCAGGAGGAAACCCGGGAACAAATCTTGGTAAGCTTACCACTTGTATGACGCGTCAGGCTCAGGAGGAGGAAGCCTGGGAGAAAACCGTGGTGAGCTCACTATGAAACAATACGAGCAGCTTCAAAAGCAAAGACTTTGATTCATGGCATGTGGTTCCGCCAATTTGAGGCTGTCAAATCGGCGGCTTCCTTTGGTGTCCCTTTCATGTAAACCAAAGAAAGGCACCCAGCGCAAACCACAGGTTTCGTCAGTTGTACCAGTCTATGGTCCATTTGAGAGGGACACAGGGGAGCTCACTCTTCTCCACATGTCCTCCTGAAACATTTCAATTTTATAGCCTCCATACTCGGTGGTTTATGCCAGGGCTGAATTTATCCCAACTGGTGCCGATTGGCGTGGATTTGGTGCATCCACAGCACCCGCCCCATAGTCTGTTGTTATTTCTCGGGGAACCACACGCCAAAATGACATGGTTTTGTTTGGTTTCTCTTCTAGGTCCCCCAGTAGTGCCCTTTTGCCCTTTTTTGGGGGAGGGTTCTCCTACTAAAATAGACTACAGAAAAAAGGGTACCCTTATTCTAACCTCTGTACTGGAGGGCTTTCAGAGCAACCCAAAAGAGGTATGTTCCTACAGCTTCCATTTGCTTAAGAACATTTTGTATTTTCCCCAGTTGGTTTTAAAGGGAATCGATTTCACTACTGGACACATTTTGTCATTTTTCGCAGGGGGCGGAAACACAAATGGAGGACAACAGAAGAAAAACGGCCGACCACAAACCCGCCTTGGGTTTTATCCAGGATGCTGCCGCGTCGCGGCAGCTAGAAGCGGCGCAGCAGAGGGGCGAGGAGATGTCTGCGGTGTTCACTTGTTGTATGTGGGTGTGTGTTTTTCCTTCCCCAGAATTAGTTCCCCTTTCTACTTGTTTTTCCTTTTTTGGGTTCCCTTTGTTTTACACTAACCAGGCAAAACATGTTCTTTTTGGCTGGGGTCCTAATTCCAGTCAAGTTTAAAGGTTGGACTGTGCAAAATAGGTGGGTTCCTTTTGGTTTCACGTTAAAATGTGCAAAATCAGTGGGTTCCTTTTGGTTTCACCTTAAAATGTGCAAAATCAGTGGGATTCTTTTGGTTTCACCTTAACATGTGTAACAGGTGGGTTCCTTTTGTTTTCCCCTTAAAGCCAACCCAAACAAGGACACCCGTGTGTATGTACGGGGTTATCAAATATATGGAGCCCTTGTTGGACCTCTGAAGGCGGGCTGATAAGGTGTCTCAGTTGCCCAAAGCGAATCGACGTTTTGACCTTTCGGCATTGTTCTGGGGGTTACCCAGTGCCCAGTGCTTCCCATTTAGTAATTACGTAACCAAAGGAAACTGCTTCGCATCCACTTGGAATGCAGTTTGCACCTGTATTGGATTTCATCCATCCCACCTGGTGCAGGATTTGGGCACAGGGCATGTAAAACGTCGAGGTAAGCAACTTTTGGTTGCCTGCCATAGAGATAACGATAGAGCGATTATGTGTATATGTGTATATATATACATGAATCACAATCTAAAAAAAAAATAATAAAATCTCGAGGTGGCGCGAGTGTCCAATGGATCCATGCGGGGAAGTCGTGTCTCGTTAGCTCCAAGTGGGTTCTACTTGAGTCGGATTTCATCTCGAACGTCGGCCTGGCTCAAAGTTATCCTACCGCAAGCATGGGTCAGACAATCTCAGATCGACTGCATCGACGTATCACAAGTCTGAACAAAAACGAAAACCGACGTCTTCAGGTGGAAACGAAGCCCGAACAGGTGTTTCGCCCTTCTTTCCCTGGGACCTTCCGAGCACACGCCATCAAGCCAAGCGAGCGGAATCGATCGATGCCTTCTTCGGAGCCGTCGTTCAGTGCCCTACTTGCCCAGTGGCACACGGCTTTTTTTGCCTTTGCTTCTTGCAGGGCTCCTTAAAAGATGCAGTTTGCCCATTTTCAACATAACTTTGTCCACCAAAATGAAGGGAGACCACCATGTACAAGGCAATGTTCAAATTTGTATAATGTAAGGCTCCCGGTTTTGTGGGATGGGTTGCCTGTGAGACTCGCGCGGCAAAAAACCTGAAAACTCCGGCCTGTTTCTTGGGGGCCGTCGACCAACCGGGAGAAACAAGAGCCCGGACCCTCAAAGAACCCCAAACACATGTGATACTGCCCCAACATTCCGAGGTGATCTCCCCTTTTTATGGGTAGTTGGCGGGTCCGGGTGCTCCTTCTCTTTTTTTTGGGGGGGGGCCTTCCCTAACTTACATCCAAAGCAGCTTGCATCTGAGGTGCCTTCCGAGAGCGACTGCTCTCTGAAACCGTCAAAGAGCGACTGCTCTCCGAAACCGATGATGTCGCAGGCGGAGTTTTGCAGCACTTGGGCTGCGGTTCCCTTTTTTTCCGGGCGCGGTGGCCGCGTTTTTGTGGCTGGCAAATCAAAATTGCGGGCGACTGCGATTTTTTTCGGGGATCCCCAGTTTAGCTTCACTGTTGTAGGCATAGTTTGTGCTATCACACCAGGGTTGTAAAGTTAAGACAAGTGCAGTTGTTTGAGATGAATTGTTTAGTACATGCCCTGTCTTTGGTTTTATGCTTTGGAAACAAGTTGCTTTTCCAGCACACCTATGGTTAGTCCAACGGTTCGACCTTTTGCTCAGGGGAGAGCGACAAGAGGAATTGTTCAGTATTCGCAGGTGCATTCCTTTGTAGTTTGGTGGCTTGCTCCAAAGCCAACGCAAAAAGCCTGTGCAGGTGTCAACATATCAGTCTGTCAATTTGTGAACATTGGGGGGCGAGCTCTGAGTATCCCCACACAAAATATAAAAAGTCTCACCTAGTTTCCCGTGTCATTTAAGGTATTTGAAACTATTGGCATATTCTGATCGGATCAGAGGGCACCTCCTAAACAGGGCCCGCCCCCCCAGATTTCTACCCTGGTCCTCCGGAATCGGCGGACTGTCCCACTTCATTGATTCGAAATGGCCTGCCCTTTTGATACTGTGGATGGCCGCGAAATCCATTTCGCACCACCTAAGAAACGGTGGAAGGTTGATTCCTCTGTCAATACCTTAACAATGAAATGGCTTCCGATGGTTTCCAAGTGGTGCAGAATTTCACTCACCTCACCTGTTCAACGTGAACCCGTCTCCAAACGACCTTTTGGCTTTTGGGTTTGGAACCTCATTTGGGTCAAAGTTTGGCATGGCACCCATTTCAGGGCCCCTTTCAAGGTCGCAGGGCGAGAGAGGTCCTGAGTCAAACTGTCAACTGGCCTCCCTTTTCTGCCAGAGGATGGCCACTGAACCTCCAACCTACCTCCTTTCTGGGTCCATGCTGGTAAGGTACACCTGGGAAATGGAAGATGGCTTCATTTCAAGCGGACGACACTCTAGGGGTCGAGTTCAACGCACTGACGAAAGGGTGGTCCAAGGAAATGAACTGTGATGATGCGGGACAAATTTTGGTTCATCCGGGTATCTATCAGGGTTGCAGTATCTGGTCCTTTGCGGGGCAAGATACACTGCACAGCAGTCTGGGGCATGGCTCTTTTTCGCCAGCTGGGAGAGCAAGGAGTATCCCCAGCTTACCATAGCCCCAGCGATTGATGGGGAGTCGTTCTTCCTGGCGGCTCCACGTGTCCATTTTGCGAGTTGGCTTAGGGGGTTCTGAAGTTCTCTCATGAATCCATACCCAAGCCACGGGTACTCGCAGCGAGTCTGCGAGTCACTTTGGCAAACCTCGGCGTCCCTTCAAACCGACCAACGCAAATCTTGTTTTTTTTGTGTCTCTCTATTTTTGTTCCGAGGATCCTCAGAAGAATTCGAGGATCCCTCCCTTTTTTCAGGTTTTCCCGCCTCACGTTGTCACCCCTTTCCCGGGCGATCTCCTTGTTGCCGGGCGCGTGCGCGAGATCTCGGGGCTCCCGCGGGGCTGGGCAGCAGAGCCAACTCCTTCATCGCCGCTCGATCCGAAAACGCGGGGCCGGGAAACCGCCGGAGCTCTGATCTGATCTTCCTTGAGCTGATGGTGAAGAGAATCCCCAGGCATATGGGACATGTTGGGATGGATGAAACTTGAAACATGTGCCTGGACTTGATCGTCACTTTTTGGGTTTAGAAACTCCCCTACTTGTTATGCAAAGTTACTTGAAGGTTTTGCGCTGCTATGACCTTTTTTGCAAAGCAAGTGGCCGCTTTCAAGCTGTTCCATGATGGGATGTGCATCCCCAGGCCCACAATGCACCGGGAGATGCCCTTTTTAGCCAGAGAACCCCAACCCAGAACCCCCCTCCTTTACCCAAAAAAAACCATCAACCGCCCGGGCAAGTGGAATCCCTCATGCGGAAACACTGGTTTTTCCCATGAACCATCCAACATTTGTCCAAGTGGAATCCCTGATGGGAAAGCAGCCCCTTGGATGTGGGTCAAAAATATGTAGCCAAAATGGAACCCCGGTAAATGGAAACATGGACTAAACCTGCGGTCCATATCCTGGTGGTTTAATTTTCACCCATACCCCCTTGGTGCCGGAAGGAGTTCCTGTGGACCATCCTTTGATAACACCTGAGATGGGTCGACGGTCTGGGGCTCAAGGCATAGAGTGCTGACTCTGGCACGGGCTTCGGCCGCAACCACTCTTGCCATCCATTTTAACGGGGAACCACCTGAAAAGTGAGTGGTGGACTCATGTCTCCCCACCTAAATGATGTCCACCAAAGGGTTCCTTATTAAAATTCATACCCAAATGAATTTGCACGTCACGCTTCAAGGTGTGGGTACCCCTTTTTGGTGAGTTCAAAATGCACCAAGGGGAAAGGACACACATTTTGGTGGGTCGGCTTTCTGACAAAGACCCGCCCATATGGACCAGAATCAGCCGTGTTTTGTTTTCGCCTAATTGGTGGTTTGGGCTGGTAGTTTGGTGGTTGGTTTGCTTCCCATTTACCCGGTAAACAAGATCCAGGGGCTCAACCCAAAATCCAAACCACCAATCCAAACCACCCACTAAGAGTTACCTGACGTTGTTTTCTTTGTAGCCCCCCGAATACTCAAGACAAGCAACAAACAAAGCAACTAAGCAATGCAAAGAGAAGCACCAGGTGAGCTACCCAAGCGAAGTTGAAAAACCCCAGTTCCATCTGGTTCAATCACCATTCTGGTGTTGTCCCTCTGTGGGTAAAACATGAACCTTTGGTTTACGAAACCACCAGGAAACAAACCACAAAACAGCCACGGCAATGACACGGGCCACGAATCATGGCTTTCCCTTCGGGTTTTCAGGGCGCGCCAAAGGTCCGGACCAAGGAGAACTCCACCTTTCGCCCCCTCACGGCTGGGGGTGTGCGGCAAAGCATCCTGGTCTTGGTGCAGACATCCCTCGGAGGAGGCCGTCTTTGACTTGCTGAAGCCTTGGCATCCGGCTCCAAAGGTGGGTTTAGTCCCCTGTTGGTTTCAAAGGGAATCGATTTCACTACTGGAAATTTGTTTTTTTTCTTCCAGGGGTCTTAACCAAATGGTAAAGTGGTTGGGTTTTCCATTTAACTCAGGTTTTTGTTGCGGTTTCTATCGGGTTCAGTGGTTGGGGTTTCCATTTAACTCACAAGTTGAAGAACTTTTAGCAGGGGATTAGAACACGGACAGCTCAGTTGAGAGTCTTTTGACCGAACAGCGACCGCCCATGGGTCTTCTTGTAACTTATCATTTAGCATGTCTCACTCCCTCAGTTCCTGGACTCTATTCTTTTGGGAAGACCAGTTTAGTTGCAAGCAAACAACGCTCACTTGTTCTGGCCAATCCACTCGTTCGGAAGTGAGATGGGGAGGCCATGCTTTCAGGATCTTATGAAAGTGAGCGGTTGTTAGGCCGACAGGCGGCACGGAGCCAGGTATCTTGGGTCATGGCGACCTCCAATCAGGAGTCCAGTGCTGATTTCCGCAACGAAGCAAAAACAACCAGGAAACCTTTGGTGCATTTTGCTTGGATGTTAGGACTTTAACTTTTTGCCAACTAATGGGTTTTCCCAGTAAACCACTAAAAGTTAAACTTTTAGCAGGGGAGCAGAAAGCAACCGAGAACCAAGTCAGGCCTCCGGCTTGCTCATTGCAAAAAAACAACGGACCAGCTGGATCGATTTAACTGATCCAGGTGAGTGAGGCTGACATGGGACGATTTACTCTTCTTTTTTTTTTTTGGGGGGGGGGGGTGGGGCGAAGACACTTTACCCGTCTTTGGGACCCATTTCCATGCTACAAGGAGTCTCCCAAAAGGAGTCTCCTTCACAGACGAGCGTTGTTTTGGTTCGGGTTCCATGTTAATATGCAGGAGTTCATATCCAGTTTTGAAACGTCAAACGTGCTTATGTGAGTTTTAGTCGGCAACCATTTCGTGCACATTGCATGCATACTTGTGTCCACCACATTAGGGGTCCCTTCAACTTGAAATTGCCCCATGGGAGGCATTTTGACAATGGGCTACATGATGAAGCTGGCCGGCTTGGCGAACGGACTCCTCTTTTTGCTGCTGGTGCCTTGAGTGAAGTGAACATCGCGTCTGCCAGGGTTCCAAGATGGGGCGAAGGAACAGTTTGTGGGGGGGCGGTTGTCAACAGAATGGGCTAAATCCGTTTAGTGTAATGAAAAGCAGAATCACATCAAGTCGTGATCAGAAGAGAAGAGTGTGTAATGTTCTAGCCCAGGATATTGATATGAAGTAGTATTTCGCCCCTATCAACCAACGCCAAGTGGTCTGAAAGGGAATTCAACAGGACATGGTTCAACCAGTTTGTGTTGTTTAAGGCTGGTTGAATCCACCCTGGGTTTCGGTGTGAATCAGATGAGACCCAGTTCGGGTTCCAGCTTGTTTTCTTTTCGGTGGATTCCCTTAAAGTTGCCAACTCCAAGTCGAAAAAGACCCCCCTTACCCCTTTTGGACTGCGTCCGACCACAAGACCCTTGCAACTTGCGATTGAATGCAGGCGTTCCAAGCTGCTCCCATCTAGTTGCTTTATACATTTTGCTGCCATTCGTTTGAACAGGTGCCACCAGAAAGCAAAACCAAGCGGCCAGTGTGCGATCATGGGTGAACAAGCGTATCCCTGAGGCTGTACATCACCTTCGGTGGGATAATGGAACTAAGCCTTGCGAGCACTTTTTTTGTTCAGCCTGCAAAAGTTATTCCGCAGCTGAAAGCTATGGGGTCGATAGAGTAGACAAAGGCTGTGGGGTGGTTTGGGGCAGCTTTCAGGGAAAGTTCCGGACATGTCCTTGTGGAGGGGGGGCAGCGGGCAATGGCTGGAGAGATGGAAGATCAAAATTTGTAGAACTCTCAGCAAACATGTTAAAACCTGTTGTTCAAACCTCCAGCTACAACACGTAAAAGTCGGGTTTTTCAAACCTCCTTTCAGTTGCCCTTCAGGGAATACACTCCCACCGCTAACATGGAAGTGCACAGACCCCTGTAGAAAGACTATTTTCCTCTTGGAAAAGGCCGTTTTGCACAAACCCATGTTAGTTGGTGGGAGGGTAGTGTTCAGCAAAATCTGCCAGCCCTGATCTGCTGCCAGCCGCTGAGGCAGCCTTTGTTGCGGCTGCGGCACGGACGCACTTCGAGAGACGGGGCTCCCCAACGGGCCAAAAGGGTTGGACATCGCTTGGGCTTTGGGGATCCTGGAAATCCCCCTCCCAAAAGGGGTTGTTTTCTTTGGGTTTTCCCCCGTGAAGCGGTCCAAGGAGGTTTCTTGTTTGCTCAGAAGCAGCAGCAGAAGCCCAGGTGGGGCATGTGAGCCCCGCAAATGTCCCGGCGGCCGATATCCCATTTCTGAAGCGCGTCGATGGCAGAAATTGAAATGGGCGGCTTTGATGGGTGGGCCATTGGGCCAGCCGTCCAAACCACTCCCGTGGGTTGCAGGGAATGGGGGCCTTTGCCTGTTGTTGCTTGAGAGTTCCATCCGAAAGCCTCGAAAAAGCTTTGCACCCTCAAACTTCCCGGAAACCATGGAACATATTATTATTGTTTTTAAGTATTGAGGGATCATTTTAATGAAACAATGGAACTTCCGGAACATATTATTATATTGTTTTCAACTGTTTTTAAGTATTGAATCTTTTACCCTCTTATAAGTTATACCCTATATCAATATTACTCATATCTTTGGCGCACTATCCCATTGTGATGGGTAGGTTGAAGGTCTGGGCATTCATTTGTTCCTTTTTTTTCTCTAAGGCAAGCATGGAAGTGTTGATGAAGAGCGCGGTGATGTTGCACCGCTACACCTTGGGAAGTCTTCTTGGCCCAGGACTCAGGTCGAACAGTCGCTATCACACATGATGCTCGACCGATTTTTTTGTGGATTTGGGCTAGGTGCCCCAGCTAGGTGCGCTTTTAAGGTTTCTTTTTTGGGGGAGGGTTCCCCTACTAAAATAGACTACAGAAAATAGTTGGTACCCTTATTCTAACCTCTCTACTGGAGGACCTAGTGGGGCTTTGACATGGTGGAGGACCCAAACGCCTCTGGTGTCATAAGGAGGGTGATACGAAACCCTACGATCCATAGGGGATCTGGAACAGATTTGGTCAAAAGCGAAGGAGTGGGCTTGGCCCCCAAAAAAAGGGGAGCCCCGAAAACTTGTGGTTTGCCTTTTTTGGCTTTCCCATCAGGTCAACCAACAAGGATTTCCCCGAAAAAAGAGCAACCAAGGGTTCTGCTGAATCCAGGGTTCCGAATTCGTGGTCGAACAGATACCCCGCCTAGTCGAAACATCCTGACTTGTCTACCGTCCAATGGGGAGCGGCCTAAATCGCTTAACCACGAGACCGCGGCGCATGAAACAAACCTGTTTTTTGGTGGGGTGTACTCTGGATCGCTCCAGTGCAACTTCTGTATGTCCCATTCACAACACCACTGACTTTGGCGCATGCCCGCGTATTCTTTGTACGGGCCGCTTGGCAGTTGACCTTAAGTAGATGGCCTCTTCGTGGATAGGGGGGGAGGTCCAAAACTGGCTTGTGAACAAGCTCTCTGTGCCTGTCTTTTGGAGGGTGCCCGTTGCCAGGCTGGTTTGTGGCAGGAAACCAAAAGAAAACTCGGGAACTGCGCTGCGGATGTTAGGACATCTAGGGCCCCCAGCTAGGTGCCCTTTTACCGTTTCTTTTTTTTGGGGAGGGTTCCCCTACTAAAATAGACTACGGAAAAAAGAAACGGTACCAACTGATTCTAACCTCTCAAATCTGGAGGACCTCATGCTTTTTGCACAGGTCGTGGCCACCCTGGGGCTCCAATTCGATTGATTTAGTTGGCAGACAAAACAGCCTGGTTTTAAGACAAACGACCGCAGGGTGTCTAATGCTTTGGGCTCGGGTCTTCCATCGAAAGCCAAAGCCGATCGGAGCCTCTGGGCAATAAAATATGGTTTCGGATGGGGTGACAGGCTTCGGGCCGGAGCCCGTTTCAGCGGTTGCCCCGAGGTTACGTCTTTGGAAGGAAGAGCGGCGTCCTTTTGGCCACTTGGGCGATCGACTCGAATCTCCTTTGCCGCTTTCGGACAAGCCAACGCGCGCGAAAAGTGCACCCTGAAGAAAAGATGGTGAGTATACTATGGGTTCGCCAAGTGTGTGTTTTAACGACACTAGTACTTGGATGTTGGGCCAAATTGAGAGGCAAGCACCTGGTTTAGATAGTGCACCATCATAAACCTCACGGGAGCCTTTTGTACCATGCCAAAACACCCAAGTACGTCAGGTATGGTTTCAAACTGAAGTTGCTTTCCGATGTCCAAGGCAGGCCGTTCGGCGAAGGGGGGGGTTGGTTCCAGTTCAATCCGCTGGGGGTTGATCGAGCCCCTTCCGTGGATTGTCCCGGGTTTGTGCTGTTTGGAACAGAATCACTTGATTTTTCAGACAAACTGGGCCACGTTGCACATATCAAGTTGCAAGAAGCTCGGTAATTTTGGCCGTGGCTCGTTTGCCTCAGCGCATTTGGGAAAAGGGCCATCAGCTCGCATTGACTTGCGAGGCTTTAAGTTTCCAGGCCAAACCAAAAGGCTGTGTAAGCATGTTCTAAACGTGTGCAAGCAAGAGACCTATCGCACACCCCGGATTTGACTTGATGGATTCATCTCAGATTCTTTGCTGGAACGGTTTTTCGACTGGAAGAACCCCATCCAGAAAGGCCCTTCGGCCACGGAGATCGTCGAAGTGTGTCCTTGTTTTTTTTGTTTTCTTTTACACACAACCCAGAGGTTCCAAGTAAACTGCAAAGGCAGGTTGCAAGGTCGAATCAGTTGAGCAGTTGTCTTCCTTTATCACAATGTCACAAGCCAGACAGAGAAAGGCCGAGAAGCCGTTTGTTTGTCTCTTTGTTTGTTGGTTGGTTGGTTTGTTTGTTTGTTTTGGTTTGTTTTTAATCTTGTGTCTTTGCAGACAGGAGGGGGCTTCAAGGTCTGAAGCTGACCGGCCAGTTGTGAGATGTGGGGTGCTGCTTTTGAACATAACCTGGCAAGGTCCCCCAGTAGTGCCCTTTTACCGTTTCTTTTTTGGGGGAGGGCTCTCCTACTAAAATAGACCATATACAGAAAAAAGGGTACCCTTATTCTAACCTTTCTACTGGAGGACGTAGCTGGGGTTGGTTTGCAGAAGCCAAAAGCCCCGTTTAAACACAGGCCCATACACCCACCAGCGCAAGGAATGAAGGGAATGAGTTTGGAGCTCGGTGCAGTCGCCGTGCCCGGTTGTTCCTTGGGTTCGGCTTCCATTTCGCGGGCACAGTGTGCCTGTTTTCCACCAGGACCACCAAACTGAGCATCTAAAAGTGGTCATGGACATTTTGAAGTGGTCTCGCCGAATCGGGTCGAATCGGGTCACTTGCAACGAGTCAGGACATGATGCTTTTCATCTACGGCAATGGCACGCTGATCCTGTACTTCGTGTTCCTAGGCGCGGCATTGAAGATTCGGATTCCGATTTCGGTGGGTCAGGGCGAAACATGGACGGCAATGGCTTCCATTTGGTTTACAAGTCTCACCATGTCTGTGGCAACCAAACATGGGCTTGGCATGGATGTGCAGTTAGGGATCCCAGCGAGAGCTGCTTCATTGGGATCACCACTACCTTTTGCAGCGTCTCCGGAAAGTTGTCATGTTGGCGACTTGGCTGTATTGCTACTGGATTCCCGGAATATTGCCAAGTGAACCAGCCACATCCCTTGAACATCCCTCCAACTGGTCAGTTGGGGCATTTCTGCAAGGTCTTCAACTTCTTTCCGCCCACTTGCTAGATTTAGTGGACCTCCACCGTGTCCCGTGGTGGATGCCAGGCGTTTGCGAACTTGGCCTGGACGAAGTCTCGCTAGCTCTGCGAGCTGAGTTAAATGCGCAAATGTTCAACCCTGGATGAATGGATGTGTTTTCTTGGTGGTTACCAGCCATCCGGTTCCTTAGCCCTTTAGCTTTTTAGCGTTTAGTGGTAGTTTCCATTTAACCCACCAAAAGTTAAACTTTTAGCGGGGGATCTGAGGGCAGCCCAGTCTTGCATACTTGAGGTTCGTTCTAGTGTTTGTGAATTACAAGTTGTCTAGGTCCCCCAGTAGTGCCCTTTTACTCTTTCTTGGGGGCTCGAGGGGTTGCTGCTGCCTTTGTGTCTCAGGCGACTTTATCCCGAACATTTTCCAGGCCGTGATGGGAGGCCAGGCAGACGAACAAGTTGAAGGGCACTGAGGTGGGTGACACTGTGGACGGTTGCGAAATCCATTTCGCGCCGCCTATGGATGCATTCACTTCCGATCATGTGACTGCTTGTTTGGTTGATTGCTTCCTTGCCTTCCTCTCAGTGTTTGCGCATTGGTCCATACCGCAGATGGACGAAATCCTGCACCACCAAAGAAACCTGGACTGCGAGGTGTGCCTATTTGGCTGTGGCTCAGAATTAAACAGAAGGGGTTACGCAGGCTTTGGTCCACGTTTCCACTTGCCAGGGTTGATTTTGGTATCGGTTGTTCCGTTTTTTGTTTTTGTTTTTTGCAAGCATATGCAAGAGCATCTGCAAAGACCTGTGCAAGTTTGGCCCAAGCTGCAACGCGTAGACACGCAGAGAACAACAAGAGGTATGTTCATGGATGAGATCGAATGGCCTCATGCTTCGGCGGCCGTCGCCGAGCAACGCCATCCTCCCATTTAAAAGTGTATTCTGTATCTTCCCCTCTTGGTTTTCGAGGGAATCTATCACTACTGGACCTTTGAACATATATAAGAAAATCCAGACTTGCTGAAAAAGAAGTATTCTTTGCCTTTCCCCTGTTGGTTTTAAAGGGCGTTTTAAAGGGCGTCGATTTCACTACTGGACATATTTTATTATTTTTTCCAGGGGTCGTAAAACCAAAGGGAAGCATCTTGGCAGGAGCGGATAGCCCGCCTGCAGAGCAGGAGAAGCTTCGGACCTACTGCGTAGCAACTCGGCGTAGGGATCTGGGTGCGAGCGAGAGCGCGTGTGTGTGTGTGTGTGTGTGTATTCAGTGGGCGTATTGGGTTCCTTCTGAGGAAAGAGTCCTTTCAAACATGAGTTTCAACCGCTTTTTCTTCATCTCTACGTTGCTCTTGTGCTTGTTTTCCCCCCCCCCCCCCCGATTTTCTGGGACCTCACCGGGTCCTTCTGGTCCTATCGCCGAGGTGGCCGCAATGTGCACCGTGATGCCGGTGAGCCTTTTCCGCGATCTCTCCATGCTGAGGGTCCTGTCACCGTGCCTTGGAGCATGGGAACCGCGTCCTCAAAACCGACTCGGCTAGATGAAGGTGAAGCAGTCGGCGGAAGTTTCGCCATTTGTGTACCAGGTTTTGAGTATGACTCATGGGATGACTACTGGTGGGAAAGCCACTAAGATGAGATGTCCCACATAAGAAAAGTTACCCATGGTCATTGTCATTTTGTTTTTTTTTATGAAAATTTGGTTGGCTCTTTGGACTGTCTTTTTTGGAAAACAGTGTCAACAGCAACCAAGATATGGGGGCCAGGAATATGTTTAACCCCAATGTGGGTGAAGTAGGTTTGCTCCTGCACCAATTGACTGATTTATCCACCAGGATTCAAATCCTCATCCATCTGGTGCCGATCGATTCGAGTGGATTGTGGTTTTACATCCGCATCCTGGAAGACTACTTTCCTTTTGAGGCAGCCCCCAGTCCACTTCCATGATTGTTGGATAGAGGGCCATTCATGGCCTTGTGTTTGAACCTTGGCTCCGAGACATGGCAACATGTGCATTCGGGAGCTGCAGGAATGGGCTGGCTTTCAGCTTGTCGGCCCAAATCGCCCCTTTGCACAACACCCATGAAACGGGGTCCTCCCAAAAGAGCTTCCTCGAGCACTGCCGGCTGTTTTGGTTTCGCGCTGCTCTGGGATCTGTCAGACTCATGGACCCATCGTTTGCCCGTTGTTTCGGGGAAAAGGTCAACCCCGGTCCAGTGGTGGTGTTTTTTCCCACCATGTTCCCCATAGGACTTGTTCGTCGGGAACTGGCGTTTCAGACCCCCCAAGAGAGGTTTTCGTCCACCAGGAAGGGTGATTTCTGATGTCCCCGTTTTGAGACGTGTGCCTCGGTGGAAACAACCGTGAAAGGTCCACCACACATCAATGTATCTTACTTGCTCAAAGCGAAGCGACCTTTTGAACATCTAGTTTTCCTTTGGTCCATTTACAGTCCCGATTAGTCAAGAAGGTGAGCCCTTTATTCCCCAGCTGAAAGCTATGGGCTCGGTGCCCAAATCGGCTGTAAATCGGGTGCTCGGGCTCGGGCAGCTTTTCAAAAAGGGTTCCAGAATTTCCGGTGGGGATACCGCCTGGGCTTGTTTCCAGGGGCAAGTGAGGCCAACCTTGGCTTCCGAAGGTCCCAGGACTCTCAGGTTGAAGCCTTTCTCAAAGCCACAGAATTCTCTCTGCAAACCAAAGAACTTTGTTCCGAAAGCACATAGGCAAAAAGTAACTTTTGTTTTTGGTTTCGGGGGGGGAACACGTTTTTTCTCAGCTGAAAGCTATGGGGTCTCTGCCCAGATAGGCCCTGGGAGGGTTGGGGGCAGCTTTCAGGGCTGTTGGGGATATCACCCGATTTGTTTTTGTGTGGGGAGGGGGGGGGTGATTTCAACGAAACGTCAAGAGTCAAAAGCAATCCCTTGTTTTGAGACACCCAAGAAAACCACCCGCAATCGACGGTGGTTTTTTGTCTCCCCTTGGCGAGATAGAGGGTGTTCATGGTGTTGGGAAACATTTTTTTTGTTTTAAAACAGTGTGTGGTTTAGTGGTTGAAATTCAACAACTGAGCTGCCAAAGAAAATGAAATCATTGCTTCCCTTCCGAGTTGAGACACCCAAGGAAACCATCCACCGCCATCAACCTTTTTTCTCTCCCCTTGGCGAGATAGACCGTTTTCCTGGTTGGGATATTGTGGTTTAGTGGTTGAAATCCAACCACCTAACTGCTAAGAAAAGGAACACAAGGGTCTTCATGGTTGTTCGGAAACATGCTACATTTGCTTGTGTTTTAGTGGTTGAGTTCCAACCACTTAACTGCTACGCCATATTTTCACGCGCCCCTGAGGGTCATGGTGATCGGCATCGTCTACACCGAGCTTGTGGTGCTGATCAAGTGCTTCACATCTGAAAGGAGCGCGAGCCGAAGAGTCGACGCGAGCGAGAGTCGGGTCACGTGGTCACGGCGTCGGAGAGCCTCGGAAGTGCCGGTCGCTCCCAGGCGTCCCAGTAGCTTTTTCGGTTTTGATGGGGGGGTTCATCCCCTTAGGTTTTTAGGTTTTCATCGGGGGTTCATTTAACCAGCTGAAAGTTGAGCTTTTCGCAAGAGATCTGAGGACAGCCCAGTAATGTGGAATCGAAAGTATAGGTTAATTATTGTTCAGTTTTAGGTTGTCAGGTTGGTATCAGGTGTTTAGGGGAGGGCAAGTTCTTATGAGTGAAGGTTTGAAAATAGAGGTTCCGGCCAGGACCAGTCTTCGATTTTCCCTTGGTTTCATCCAAAAAGGAGCAGTGTTTGCATTGGATGCGCGGAAATCCACCTATAAGTTTGGGCGCGAATTTGCGAAGCTTGGGGATTCCTTCCTTTTCATCCCTGCGGTGCCCTCCTTGGTTTTCCCTTTTGAGACCTACCATATCCTACCATTTTTTCCAGTGGTCAGCTTTGCAAATTTCGGACCGGGAGGAGACCATGAACCACAGACAGCGGCTGATTGTTCGACTTGGGAACCATGCCCCACGAAAACTCCGGCGTTTTCCCCATCCAGGGGTCTTTTGGGTCGGTGAATCGGAGATTGTCAGCTGGACAGTTGCCAAGTCGGAGGTTCCTGTGACTGGGTATGTCTTGTTTGAGGTACCCAGGGGCTCAATGGAAGACCCGACCCCTCCATTCGACACCCTGGAGGCGGTTGGGGGTCTCAAAACCAGGCCCTGAATCAATTGGAGCCTTTGGGGAGGTTCAAAAGGAAAACCAAGAGGAAGATCGGTATCCGCCGCTTTTTTTGAGGGGTCCAACCTTAAGAAAGACGAGCATTGGGGGCTAGTTTCGAAAGCCTCCAAGTGTTGGGGAGTGGTTGGTGGGAGCCTTTCGAATGCAAGTTGGATCTTGCCAACTGGGGCACTTGTGCCGTGTTCGGCCAAATAAAATCAATGTATGCTTGGCTTGAACATTTCCTGTGGAGGGCGCCAGCGAAATCGACCTAATCGACCTCACATCTTGGTTTCAACCCGGTTTGATGTCGATGGTTTCGCGCATCCCAGCGAGCATTTCCCTTACAGCTAGATGGGCCACTCGCTTGGAGGTCCTTGGAAATGGGGCCAGAGAGGGGCTGGCAGGTCTAAAGAAATGCAGCAAGTTTGAAGTGAACTAGGTCTTTTCCACTGCTTTCTGCATGTGTGTGCGTGTGAACCTTGGACTGTCCGAAGCGGCCTGCGGTGTTTTGTGTTTGCAGTGTGGCGCGGTCGTGCGATCTGGCGAGCGGCGAGTTTGTTTCCGCGTGCAGGAGCCATGTGGAGATTCGTGGGGGAGCCGAGGGGTTTCTTTATGGGCACCTTTTCGGGCTTCCAGGTACACCACTGCGAGGGGTACCTTTCCCATTTCCAGGGATCCGGATCTTTCCAGAAACCACCAAACCTCGGGACACAGCGATCGGTTTTTGAGAAGAACGATGGTTAAAAAGAATGGCAAAGGAATCTTACCCCTGGAACTGCCCCCAAGTCTGTGTCCGTGTCTGTGTGTGTGTTGTGTTCGGTGGGAGGAGTTTGATTCATGGATCTCCCGGGAGATATGTAGGAATAGTTGGCGGGTTTCTTAACCGATCCCTTCCATGGAGCTAAAGGTCGGGGCTCTCTGGAAGCCTTCAAGGGTCTTGGGCAACCCATCCACAATTTTTGGGGATGGAAAGCCTTCAAGGGCCTCGCCTTGCCCCTTCAGCTTTGCTTTTCTCCTACCCAGAGGCTCCCATTCGATTGATTTAGGGGCCTTCAAACAGCCTGGGTTTGAAGACCAACCACCGGGGCGGGGTGTCTGATGCCTCGGGCTCGGGCTTTCCATTGAAAGCCAAAGCCAGCCTCCGGGTAAACGGCGTTGATCGGGTTTGCTTCTCGCTTGACCTGCGAGCGGCGGAAGGTGAGGAGCTTGCACCAGCGATGGGATGCCCAATTTCAATACGGCCCCTGGATGTCTTCCTTCAAGATGCGATTTACTGGTGGTTTCTCTTGAAACTGCCACTTTTGTTGGCTCCAAAAGAGGGGCAGTGGAGGAAAGTCCGTAGTATCTATGAATCACTCAGGGGTTTATTTCGTCTGTTCTTAGCGCCAAGTGGGACCCAAAGGACGAGAAGAAGCGGATGGAAGTTGAAGAGATGAAGCCAATACCATGGTCGGTTTGGAACCTTTTTGTTTAGCAGGGTTAGGGTTCGGAGGGTTGAGGGATGGTCATGGAGTCATGGACTCTTCAGTAGGGAAATATTCGACTCGTGGAGACATCAGCATGGCCCACTTGAGTTTCTGCGTGGTATACACATCAATTCCTGGGCCAATGTGAACCGAGCTTTTCTTGGTGCATTCTGCATGGATGGAACTGAGGTGAGGTGGAATGGAGTTTCTTTCCGAACTTGCAAGCCTTCAGTCTATGTGTCTTCGGCTACGTGTGTCACATGAGCCTTGGCAATGTGACGGATGCCTTGCGCTTCTTTGGGGGGGGGGTCAAGCTAGCATTTAACTAGGGTCATTTTGGTGGATTCCGCAACGGGGCGGGGTCAAATCTCCAAAGCCGGTCATCATGGGGAGGCAAAAAACGAAACCAATGCCTCCATGATCAGGAGTCAAACGCTGCGTCTACTGATGGGTGCAAGTTCCAACCTGAGGCACTGGTCAAGCAGCAGTAGGTAGTGATCAAACCATTCCTCTAAAGCCTGGTCCAGCTCGTTTGCTCCTAAAGCTGGGTCAGTGCCAACCCCGCCCTGACACCTGTTTAGGCATTGGTCGAACTCCTCTAATACTGGGTCCACCGCGTGTTCCCGTTGAAGCTAGGTCCCCCAGTAGTGCCCTTTTACCAATTGTTTTGGGGCAGGATTCCAACAGACTACAGGAAAAAAAACATCGGGCACCAACTTCTTCTAACCTTTCAAATCTGGAGGACCTAGTCCTCTAAATCCTGGTCCACCGCATTTTCCCCTTTGAATTCAGCCGCCGCGTTTTCCCCGCAGCGCTCCGCGCGAAACCCACGGGAAGCGTCGACGGAGACCGACGGACGCGGCGGATCGAGGAACGTGACGCCGGTGGCCAAGGAGCTCGAGAGCCCCTCGGACCGGCGCATCGAGAAGGTCACCTTCCGCACCTCGGAAGGAGAATCCGGTGCCCCGTGTCTGCCGTGTTTTTTTTCAACAAAAATGGAGAGAAACCAAAAAACAATCTGTTTTTTTGTTTAGGAAATTGTTTTAGGTGGTGTAGTGACGTTGGGGAAAGCCATTCAGCTGACTTGGGAAAGCCCATTTAACCGGTTCAACTTAGGGTGTTTTAGCTGGTTTCTAGGTAGTTTAGGGACTTTGGGTTTCCGTTTATCCCGCTAGTTAGGATTCCCTTAGGTGTGTTTGGCTTTTTCAGTTGGTTCAGAGGTTGGGTTTCCATTTTAAGAGGGGCCAAGCGGACAGTTTGGGGTTACTGGGTAAAACTGGCAGGCCCGAGATGGATAGCGGCTCAATTTTAGAAGTTTGCACCCAGTTTTGTGGTCAGAAAGTAGAGTTTAAAGCACTCCACAAGGTGGCCACCTTACTTAAGGTGTACTTATAACTACACTAAGTTCGGAAGGTTACTTAGAAGCTACTTATAGACAACTAGTTTCTAAGTAATTTATAACCTCCGTAGCTTTTTTGGCTGTGAAAACCGTGTTGTTTTTTAATGTTTGCTCAATCGCGGCACAAAATGTTGCAGAATCGAGCACATTGCCCGGGTTGCGCCTATATTGAGAGCGAGTGTGGGCTGTGGCTCAGCGAAACGGCGCCGCCGCTCGGCTGAAGGGTGAAACGCGGTTTCGTGCATATATGCGGAGAATGGAGAGAGCAAGATGTGCGTAAATATAAACATGAGCTCATCTATATTTCGGTATCAATAAATACAAGGTATAGAAATAATTTGTCGCGGCCCCGCCGCCGTATATTTAGCGGCTGCGCCGCTCCGTGAGCGGCTGCGCCGCTGTTGCGTCGCTGTTGCAGCGGCCGCGCCACTCGTTCGGCTGCGCCGCAGTTTGTGTAGCGGCCACGCCGCTCTTTTTGCTTCCATCCTACTGTGTGTGAGCGGCGCAGCTGCTACAGAAGAGACGCCACAGAGCGGCGCGGCCGCCAGTATGCACGTGTATGACGGCACCGCCGCCAGATCCGTCCATTCCAATGGAGCGGCGCTGCCACTCATTATGTGGCATAAGTGCGGCGCAGGCGTGCGCTCAAGCTCTCTGCCAGCACATGCATGGCACAGCTTGTGCCTGAATGGATGCTCCTGACAAAATCTATATTGCGTACATGCAGAGATCCTTCTATACGGACATGATTAAGGCGACGCCGGCGCACGTCACAGCTTTCCAGAAGATCAATAACAAAAACGGTTTTGCGATCCGAGGCACTGTGATACTTTGGGGAGCAGCTTTTCAGCAGTTCACTCGCGCTCACTTGTACATGTCCACTCGAGAAAGCCACGGGGGACTTTTCTTCTGCCCGGAGAAGATTCGGTTCCAAAATCCTACGTTTGCATCTTAAAGAGCTAACTAGTTCCTAACTAGTTTCTAACTTTTCGCACGAAGTTACATAAGTGCCTGCTAAGTACCTAAGTAACTTATAAGTTTCCCCCGAACTTATCGTAGTTACAATTTACTTGCCCCACTTATAAGTCACGTTACTGAACTTATAAGTGACGTTACAAGTTGCTTATAAGTCACGCGGCCACCTTGCAGAACCCGATTCTATTTGTTTGGACCATTATGTAAAATTTAGCTTGTTTGAGATTTAAAGACACCGCCAGGAGCAGCTTTTTGAGGGTCCAAGTTTTGATTGATTCAGTTTGCCGACTTTCTGCTATCCCCCAACAGAAATGGTTATCTTCCCATTCGGGTCACTGGAGCTGGGTTGTGCTTCGCCTTGCACGACCAAGGAGTAGTCGTGGTGCAGTTCATTATCTACACGCTCCTTGCAGCGTTCTCCTTAGTTTGCGCTTGCAGGATGAGGCTGAGGGGTTGGTTCCCACTTCACCAAGGAGTCGTTTCTTTAGGTGGATCTTGAAGGCCTTCCTTTGATGTCACCGAAAGGTTCAGGACAGGTGCAGTCATACTATAGGTGGACAAAATCCTGCACCACTTAGGAAGTGGTTTGCCCATGGTTTTGCCACAATTCACCAAGAGTTTCTCATGTTTCATCAATCCCAACTGGTGCAGGATTTTGTCCATCCACGGTAGGGAATCAAGGTTCAAAATCAGTGCCAAACGCCAGATGTGTCCCACAGCTGACTACGCATTCGGACATCCCCCCCCCAATTTTGATCGGATGTTTTGCGCTTGCCTCTCGTGACTCATGCATTCGCCAGCGTGCAAGGTGGGAGGCCGGCCCCTGAGTGAGCTCGCAAGACGCGTTGCGGATGGACATGGAACCCAACATCTTTCAGAGGAATCTCCTTTTCTTGGTTGCTCCCAGCCATCCCTGTAGCCTTTAGCTTTTTAGTGTTTAGCGGTAGCTTCCGTTTAACCCACTAAAAGATAAACTTAGCGGGGGATCTGAAACCAGCCCAGTTTTCTGGGACCCCACAAGTCTTCGTTCTGTAAAGAAGCAGGGGAGTAGGTGTTGCAATTGACTGTCTGTGTCAAAAAGGGAAGGAAGCCCTAGGAGTCTTGCGGGCGACTCCCCTTGGGCTCCATGTGAATCCGCATCCAACTGGATGTTCAACTCAGTGGGTGACCTGTCTCACTTCTTGCGATGACTACGACGTACTCACCAAGTGGTTTGAACATCCAGCTGGAGAAACATGAGTGTGGCGCAGAAGACGAGTTCTGGATACGGTCAGTCTTCTTGCTTGTGCGCAGTAGAGAATGATCCAGGGTGTTTGGAATGAACCTAGGGATTCCCTGAAAGGAAACCAGAAAGAAAGGTTTATGGGGGTCATTACCTCATTCCCTGCTGAGAAACAGCAAGTCTTGCAAGGCTACCTCACCTTCGGCGAGGGAACTTTGCCAAACCTCCTGCAGAACTATCCGGCTGACGACTGGGCAGTGCTCGGAAGCCGCACCTTTGCGAATTTTCGGCTTTTGGGGCGCAGAGCCCCGATTTGTTTCTTCGGTTTTTCGGTGCCGTTTTTTCCCCAGCAGCTGATAAAGCATGGGGTCGATAGGCCCAAACTCTGGGGTGGTTCAGAGCTTTCGGGGAGAGCCCCGGGTGGTTCCAGGCATTTCCGGGGCTGTTGGGATCACCTGGGTTTATTCATTTTTGCCTTGCTTGGCTTACAACTAAAACTTGTCCCCCCTTAAGGTCAAGGGATAGGTGTGAACATCCGCACTTGGAATTCTCTACCAGGTTTGGGTATACCACTGAAAGGATTTTGTTATGAATCAGATGAGGCCTAATAGGCTTTGAAGAATTGGGATCCCGGGGAGGGGTGTGCTGCACATGGATTCTGAGACGAATACCCTGCTGGTGGGCGCGAAAGGGCTTGTTTCTGATTCAAGTTTGTTCATTACTCATGTTCAGCCTTGTTTTGGTCTCTTTTGCCTGTAGTTTTGCTCAGGAGCTCCTTTGGAAGGTTTCAGAAGGAGAGGATGCTTAAGGCACCGCTACAGGACTGCCTGGAGGAAATTTGCCAAACACTCACACAGCACACGGGTTTCTAGTCAAAATCCGAATTCCCCACTGAGACAGACCTACATGATGCCTACATGTTGTTTTTACATAGTGCCCTTTAAGGTCTTTAGGAAGCCTTTGCTTGCTTACAAGTGGGGCTCCATGGCTCTTAAGTGGGGATTTCTAGGCTTAGATTCTCTTTCTGGAAGCGTCTCCTCCACTACTACTTCAATTTTAGGGCAGACGTATGCAGCAGAATCTGCTTTTTGTAAACAGAATCCGACATCTCCGACCATCTGAGTTGCTGCACCCGTGTTTTCGTACGCCAAGTTGTCCATCAGCGTCGGTTTCTGAGGCGTGATGCTGACGCTCACGATCCTGGTGGCTGTGGCGACCAACACCAACCCCACGGCCGATGCCCCGGGCTGGTGTGGAATGAGTGCCCCCGATCCCTGCTGGTCGGGAACCCCCACCAATTTTTCTTGTCTGGTTTGTCTTTGGCTTGAAGTTGTTCCGTGAGAACCAGCAAGTAGGTGGTTCTACCGCCTATAGTTTTTTGTTGGATGCTCTTGTCGAGATCATAGGCGATATTCCCTCCCACCGCGTTTGAGTGTCCACCGCTATTTGTAGCCATTTGAGCCACGCTAGGCACCCATTCCCAACAGGGCCATTTATGTGGATGCCTTCTACTGCCTGCCTGAACGATTCAACGATGTTCCTTTCTATGCTCTGCCACTTGTTGGGGGGTAAACCACTACAGTATTTGTTTGATTTGAAGACATATGTTTGGTTCCAACCAAGCTTTGGGGCTCCATCGGGCTTATGTAAGGCCCAAAAAACCATATTATACAAGTGAACGCTTCGGGCTCCATTTCAATTCACGCACTGGTACCTCTGGGCCCCCTTTTGGTTTCAGGATGCGTTTGACTTAGACTTAACTGCTCGTTTTGCCTTGCCCTTTTGAAGTTTCTTTGTCACTTTCCACTAGCAAAGAGTTTACTCTCGTATCCGACCCTGGGTTTTCCCTTCATAGCCTACAAGACACCAGGAGGGTTTTGGGTTCTCTCCTGGTTTCGCGTTGCCGACATCAGGTGCGAGCGCTCTTGTGCCTCCTGGAGGCCTCTCTTTGTCTATTTTGGTTCCATAAGCGGCGAGGGGGGGGGACTTGAAAAATCCGCAGCCGCCTTACTCAAATGGTCTTCACTACATTGCTAGGTCCCCCAAGTAGTGCCCTGAAAACCCTTTTTGGGTTTGGAGGGTTCCCCTGATAAAATGGACTACAGAAAAAAGTTGGTACTCTTATTCTAAGCACTCTACAGGAGGATCTAGATTGTCACGGGGTATGGTCAAAACTCCCGTCATCGGGATGCTCAACCCATTTAGGTCTTAATGATTATTATAATTGGGACAACTGGGGCTAGTCGACATTTCCCACGTCTTGAGTAACTTGAACCTGAGATGCTTTCCACTAACCCCAAAACACCCCCAGGGGCAGAATAGGATAGACCACCAACTAGCCACTATATCGAGGTTTCCCCTCGGGGTAGTTGAAACCATAGAAAGATCCAAGTGGAACTTGGGACGCTCTTTTGCCCCGGGACATCACGGGCCCACTTGAGTTTCAGCTTGTGCATCCAGAGCTGACTCGATGTCCCCTGACTTCCTTGTGGAATGGCCAGCCCTTTGCATACGAAAGCTGTTTATGGGGAGGGTCCGAACTTGGAGGACCCCGTTTAGAGGTGAAGGGAAGCCAGCCAAAAGACCAGCCACGCTTTTGCCAGTAGAAGTCGGTAGCAGTTGGTTGTTGTCTTTGGGATATTTTGTCCAGTTCCCTTGTCCTGCCCTTGAGGTCACAGGTTGCAAACTGGGACTTGGAGTCATAAATGAGCAACTGACCAAATGACGGGCGCGGTGTCAGTCGCCGGTTTCGACCCTCTTTTCCCAGAAAAAGCCATGGGTTCGTTAAGAAACCGCCTGGGAACGAGCCATTTTGTCCGGGGCTCACAAGGTGGAAACTGACACGCCGGACACCTGGCGCTCGCTCACCCGCTCCGGCCAGATGGTGTTTCCAGAGATGCAGGAGGAAGAGCCTCAAGGCCGGGACGCTCAGACTACACTTTGGCGCATCTTGCCAAGGGATGTTAGGACTGAACAACTTTTTGCCAACTACTGGGTCTTCCGTATTAAGCCACTGAAAGTTAAACTGTTAGCAGGGGAGCAGAAAGCAACCGAGTGAAGGTGTTGTTTGTCGCGGATCCGAGGGATCCCAGCTTAGTTGTCTAAAGGCCTGGGCTCTGGATGGACGAAGTCCAGTTGGGATGGATGAACCCCGAGTTGAGTACTGCACGTACGTGGCTACCGGCTTTTCACTCCAGCCGTACATGGCAATGCTGATTCTAAAAAAAAAAGTCAGTATTCCAATGTATGGCTGGAGTGAAAAGCCGGTTACTCGTACATTGTAGCAAACCCAAGTGGTGCAATGTGTCTATCTTTTCAGGGGCTGGGCATTTCAACTGGGCGTTTTTCGGCCCAGAAGCGTTCCACTAAAGCTCCGAGCTGCTCATGGTCTGTTTCCTGGATCGCATGAAGCTTTATCCCCGGTCGTACCTGGTAAAAAGGTGGGACATTATGGTAGACCTTTTTATGCATCTTCACCGGGGTTTCGGCACTCAGATCGTTGAGGCCTACGACTTCGGAAAATTCCAGCTTCATCTTCATTTGCTTAAGAATATGTCTTATTTCCCCTGTTCATTTTAAAGGGAACCTATCACTACTGGACATATGTCTTTCATTTTTTCCGGGGGTCTTAACCATGGAAGAAGCCAAGTACCAAGGCCTTACGGGTTGAATCCGGATGATAGCTGCACGTAGCCTCCCCATACTAGGGCTTGAGTCCCTACTCTTAGTCAACCATGCTTCTTTTCTTTGTCTGATGGTTTCAAGAACCCAGCTGCTTGGCGAGCCGCTCTGGCGGGATACTTGGCGGGATCCACTGGCGAGCCGCTCTGGCGGGATACTCGGCGGGATCCACTGGCGAGCAGCTCTGGCGGGATACTGGGCGGGATCCACTGGCGAGCAGCTCTGGCGGGATACTCGGCGGGCTCCACTGGCGAGCTGCTCTGGCGGGATACTGGGTGGAGGCGCGGTGTAGAAGCATCGCAAACGCTGATTCCAACATAAAATCTAACAACCCCTTCCTGTCGGGTGGGGAAACAAACATCCTTCTGGTCAGGAAACCATCCAAACAGCTCTCAAAAGCTTGCAGCTAGGCGCTTGGTAACAACTTGATGTTGTATCGCTTCCCTTTGAATCTGCAACCTTCCAGGCTTTCCAGAGTGATGCGGGCGGTCCTGCGTCAGGCAGCTGACACAGCCAAGCTCGCTGTCAGGAAGGCTGCAGTGCAGGCGTGGCTACATGTACTGGTGGACACGGACGGCCGTGCGCACGCCTATGAGCCGCCGGAGCATCTGCCAGGAAGCTACTTCAAAGGCAGCCTTGTGTGGCTTATGGAGCGGAGCGCGCTGGACAACCTCCTCAGGCCGCGCCTCCATCCTTGGATGCTCTACTGCCACACGGTGGGACAGGGCTGGGGTGTGAGGGACTGAAGCGCTATGCGGAGGGCAGTGGCATCCCCCGTCTCCTCCAAGCCGCCCCAACAACCCGTGGGCTGTGTGTGGACTAGATGCGGTGACTATGCAGCGCGGGCTGCTTGCACTGCCATTCTATTGGCACTCCGACCTGAGCTGGTCACTGCTAGACGCATTGCCTATAGCAATCTGCATGCTCTGCCAAGACGAGCACCAGGGCCTACAACAGCCGCTCCACAAGGCTGAGCAAATCTCGGTGAGCGGCTTCACCGCCATTAGTCAGCAGTGCCGAAGCTGGAGGTATGCAGCAGAGGTGACCAGTGGCGGTATCACTCTGGTGCAGCACTCCTACTTTGGCATGGGTTAGCAGAGCAGCACGAGGATGTCATCGGTTTGGTAGTCAGGTACGCGTCAGTCCCTGAAGCTACAGATCTCGTGGCCAAAATAATCCGCCTCACTGGCGATGAGCCTCCGTGGCCTGGCACGTGTAGGAGTTTCGGCTCCCTTGGCCCAAGCTTTCTACTTCCGCTTGTGCTCGAAACCTAGCTTTTTGTGGCTCGAACGTTTGCTTCCAAACGTCGACTAGAGGTATGCTCTTGGCTTTCACGATGACACTCCGGACGAAGACATGGTTATGCCCACCGACGAAGACGTTCCCGAGCCCGAGCCGGCCCGTAGCGCGCTGGCGCGGGAACTCAAAAAATGGCGCTGCCACTGCGCAAGACACTGCAAACTGCGCCTAGCTGCCAGCCCTGCTACTATATGGGTTCGTGACCAGTTATAAGTCATGGCCAGTTGATTCAGTCGGTCACCAGTTGCATCAGTTTCTTTCTGGGATAGCTGATTTAGTGCTGACGAGCTGCATGAAATTCAAAACAGTCAAAACAGTTAAAACAGCTATTTTTTCGTCAACAGTTGTAGAACACATAATGTTGTGCAAATATTGACATATTTGCACAGATAACTGCCAAATCACATTGAAACCTTGTACACACGTATAGAAATTATGAGACTTTGATGTTTGCAGGTGGCAGTTGCCGCTCGAGCCATCCCACGAGTTTACACACCAGGGATATTTTTTACCAGCTACTTCTGCTCACCTACTGCCTTTGTGTCCTGCCATACCACGAGTTTAGACCAGGGAGATTTCTCACCAGCTACTGCTGCTCACCTACTGCCTTTCAAATTCGCATCCTGCCATCCCACCAGTATAGACAAAACAGATTTCCCACCAGCTACTGCTGCTCACCTACTGCCTTGGAAATTTGTATTTTCCACCAGCTACTGCTGCCCACCTACTGCCTTTGAAAATTGTATCCTGCCATCCAACCAAGTATCCCGCTGAGTATCCCTTGCCGGTGGATCCTGCCGAGTATCCGGCCAGTATCGAGCCGGAGCGGCTCGCCAGCATTCGCCAGTGGATTCCGCCAGTATCCCGCCAGAGCAGCTCGCCAGTCTGGTTTTGCTTAATGTCCAAAAGGGCCAATGGGAATTTGGAGTCGAAGTCTCTAGGATGCGGAGAAATTTGTTGCAACGGTCGTAAGCTCGTGCTTGAAGCGAAGTATTTTTTCGGCTTCCCCTCCCATAGTACAATACTTGGTGGCTCCCAGCCATCCCCTTAGTTTTTAGCCTCGTAGTGTTTAGCGGGGATGTCCATTTATCCAACTACAAGCTAAACTTTTAGCGGGGGATCTGAGGACAGCCCAGAATCGTCTGCTTCACTTCGCTGATGCGAGGCATGGCGGAGCCCACTACGCCGCCTGTGTTGAAGCGC